TATTCGTCGTTACTTTTTTATGTCGAAACCATCGCTAATCAATCGATATATGACTTATTTTATATTTCATCGCTATTCGATCGCTATTAAGTAGATAAATGGTGACGGCTTCAATCTTTTGCTAAATGTTGTCGCTAATTGCATATTTACTTGTAGTGCATGAAAATTTATTATATGTTTTTTTTTATAGTACACCAAACCAAAACAATATGAAGGATGCATTCTTAAAATCATCTAAAAATAGATTTAATTTTGATTAACGTCTAAACAAATCTCAAAATACTCTTGCCATCGAATAGGAAAAAAAAAACAAAAAAGGACTCTCCTTGTGGAATTTTATGGGTTGTACATATCCCGATTTTAAATTGACCCTAACGCAATTTTTATTGGAAAAGGACGTAAGGATAATTGTTAATTATAGTGGGTGCTAATAGTAGTGATCATTCAGCTTTTTGGTTCGATTTTAGTTTTTATTATTATTATTTTCAGCTAACCAAATTAAGGTTTGATTTTTTGGTTAAAAAACCAAAATTTTCGATTCGGTATTTTGGTGTTTGGTTAAAAGTGATTTTTTTCTCTTTGAATCTCAGCCTCTATAACAACATCACCCCAACCCAACCTATGCTCCTACCCTTTAACAATCTACTGCCACCAATACACCAAACTTAATCCACAAATTAATTTATTGACCAAAATTGATTGCATTTCATTTTTTAGAATTTTAAATTGAAAATTTTAATTAAAAATGAAAGTTACCGTATAAAAAAACTAAATTATCGAAAAATCCAACGTAAAGACTAAATTATAAACAAATATGAAAATATGGAGACTTAATATTGATTTTTTTAAATAAAGAATTAACTAATTGTTCCATTCGAATTAGACTCAATATTGATATTTTTTTTAAAATAATAAACAACTAACTAATTATTTTACATTAAAATAAAACTAATTATTTTACTAAAAATAAAAAATTAAATAAGATAATAATTAACTGAAGCAAACAATTTTCAAAGCATTTCTTGTATCAGTGAACAAAATATAATTTACCATCCGTCGTTTCTTCTTCTTCTTTGGCACATTCATGACAAAGTCAACAATTGAATTTCATTCTAGCGTGCTTATTCATTGCAAGTGCAGCAACTATGGCGTGCTTATTCGCTGCAAAGGCAGCAGCTATAGACCTCACAAGTTCGCATGCTCTCCCTCTCACGTATGACAAATATATGTAAAGGGTTGTTGATTTGTTGGAGCTAGAATGTCGAAATTAAGATAAGTGTAATTGGCAAGGGTCTAAGGGGCTGTTTGGTATGTTCGATTTTCGATGAAAATCAATTTTTTTTTAAAAAAAAAGAACCAAATCGAAATAATTTTGATTTTTAGTTTTAGTTTTTTTTAAAAAAAAAATTTAACAAAATTGAATCGAAATTACTAATTCAGTTTGGTTCGATTTTTTTATTTTAACTTAATAGCGCTCACCTCTAAATGCAAATTTAATTATTTTATAAAAATATAAACTATGAAAAATATCACTAAAAATTAAAATATTATCAATGTAAAATTAGGTTACTGCCTATAAAATTTAGAGATGATAAGTTCATTCAATCTATCTATTGAGTATTTGATTGATATCACCATGGTTGGATTTAACTAATATTTATCTAGTTTTATCACAATTACGGGTTTTATATATATTATGGATTATTAATTTCATTCGACCAGTTGTATCTGAATTTTTTTTTTTTTTGGGTTAACATATATATAATTTTTTTTTATGTGAATTTGCATTTTGAGTTTTTTAATGTGAAATTGTAATGGTGAAGTGAAGGTAGCTTATAATGCAAAATAGATTTAATATCTTTTCTTTTTTTTCTTTTTTTTTTGTCGTATTCAAAATTTTTAAAGTAGTTATCCAATAACTTTATTTTCTTTTCCCCTCTTTTTTTATTTTTTTCTTTGCTTTATTTTTTTTCATTTTTTTTTTTTATTTCTATTGGTGTTCATCTTTTGTCATGTGTCACTAGATAATAGACACTTATTATATTGAATAACAACCCTCATTTAAATAGAAAAAAATGTTAGTAATTCAAAGAGGTGAAAATTAAAAGTAAAGGTTTTAAATAGAAAAATAACAAAAGTTTGGACACAATGGTGGTGTTTGATAAAACTGAAAATTAAGTGCTGAATAATTAAGTATTGAATATGTTACCGACAAGTCGTTTGATATTTACCGAAAATTAAGTGTTGAATATAATAAGATTGTTTGATAAGTAATGTTGCTGAACATATTAAAACTATATATGACAATTTAAACCTTATTCTTCTTTCGATGTTTTTTAGGCTTTTTTATTTCATCATTTGGAGTTGAAAATAAAACTAGAGAATCGGACTCCAAATCAATAAATTCTTTAACATTTATTCCAATTGGTTCAATGGGCATTGAAGAACCAGCTTCATTTATGCACATGGATTTTTTAGAAGAATTTGAAAAAACAACTCCATTTATAGGCATTGTGTCTTTAGAAGGACCCTAATCTTCTTTTCCAATGGCTGAAATGCCATCAAATAATGATTTTACCTCATCCAAAAATTACAAACCAATATAATGAAATTGTTTACGTTATTATTATTCTATTATATAAATATATCAAATTAATACTATGATTAATTGCTTAAAGCTCTTTTAGAGAATGAAATATATAAAAAAATAATAATATTTTTTTATAATTGTCCCACTCTTGTGCAGTCTAATTAATAATATTATAAGAACCTATAAAAGATAGATCTTATCCAACGCGCATAGCCGCGTATTGTCAAGAACGCGTCCTTAAAGCATTGATCCCACTTCAACAATATTTGCACCAATTATATATTTATCTTTTTGTTTGTTTTTTTTTGTTTGTTTTTTTCTTTTTTTTCCTTGAGTAAGTGGCTACGTATAAGAGTTTTTGCCCAATACAACCACCTACTCCATCTATGCATAATCATTCATTGCAAAAGCTTCTCTTACCTTTCAAATCTTCTTAGTTCAACAATCGTCTCTTCCCACCAAAGATACTTCAAAAGTAATGGGTATCGGCTTGTTGAATGCTAAGCAGATGGTGAGGCGTATTCTTTTGTCTCTAGAAACTAGTATGGTACCAAATGGCCATTTTGTTGGATATGTTGGAGAAGTTCAAAAGAGATGTGTTGTTCCCATCTCATATTTGAAGAACCCTTAATTCAAAAAGTTGCTTACCCATATTGAAGAAGAGTACGGCTTTAATCATCCAATGGGAGGTCTCACCATTCCATGCAGTGAAGAAGTCTTCCCTGGTCTCCCATCTTGCAATTAATTTTTAGATCTCAAAGTTTATATCAAAGCAAATTAATCAGTTGGTGCTATAGATCCTATATATAATTGGTTTCTCAATCGATTTGTATAATTAGGATTAGAAGAATATATGAGGACAATATGATCATATTTGAAAAGTTTTTAAAATATTTCAACCGAGCGTATTAATCAAAAAGTAATAAGTTAAAAATTTTAACTTATCCGATTAAGTAAATTTTGACTAAACTTAAATTTTTAATATGAGATTATTTAGGTTATCAAACAAATTTTTTATATTAAGTCCTACAACTTAATTTTTTAAGTTACTTAAATAGGTTATCAAACGACCCCTAAATATACTTTCTTTAAACCTCTTTTTTTGTCATGTCTTATGAAATAACAAATACGTTAACATTGAGAAATTTTATAATATTTACGGAGTAACTAATGTACATGTATATAGATCTATTTTCCGAATAAAAATAGACACATAAAAAAAATTACTTCTAGATCCACCAAAAGTGATAAAAAGATTTTCGGATTGATTCAACTTTTTTTCTCTCTCCTATTTCTCTCTTTTCTTTGTCTCTTTGTATGAAGTAATTTATACTAGTTACTTATTGAGTATTATAAAATTTCTCCGTTAACACCTTACATACTAAATTAGTAGCTCACATAATAATTAAAAAATGATTCATTTTTAAAAATAATCAATCTTTTTTTTAAAAAAAAATTGAAAATAAAAAATTAATCGCTTTTAAAAAAATAAAAAAAATTAATTAACTTTTAAGAATAATCAATTTTTTTGTCTTTTTTTATTTATTTTCATTTTTTAAATAATAATTAATTATTATTATTATTATTATTGTTATATTTTCAATCTTTGGGAAACAGATATTCATTTTGAAACTATAAATTTGACATGTGTTAGTATTTGATTGGATAGCTATAAGTAGTTAAATGAGTTGCAAAGCAGGATTTAATGAAAAAACTAGTATGTTTCAACTTTTTAAATACAAGACTTCGTTGGTATTAGAATAGGATAAAGCAGTTCGAATGATCAAGCCCCGATTTTCCTCCCTTCTCTTTCTACATTGCACCTGAGCTTTAGGTAGCCTCCGGCCCCCGCATCGTCTAGTTTTTCTTGTTCTTCAAAACCTCTAATTACGTCGCATTTTCGTTTGGCGTGTAGCAGGATAAAAGCATATCCCACATCGAAAGGATGTGAGATTAAGCATTGGGAACTTGTAAATAAATACGGCTCTACTAAAAAATATTAGTTGGCCTGTCCTGTCAGGGGTGGAAGGCGACTTGTCAATGATCGTTTAGAGACGGCGGGTCGTGCCAACACCTTGTACATCGAACACACATCTTTCAGGCGAGCGAGATCCGCCCTACTTTAGGTGGAACTTGCCCGTCAATTTTTGGAAGCCTCACCTCTGGGTGGAGGCTGCTCACGAAGAAGGAACTTGCCCGTCAATTTTTGGAAGCCTCACCTCTGGGTGGAGGCTGCTCACGAAGAACTCCAAATGGTGAAGGCTGAAAATCTGTTACAAGAATAATGCTGGAATTCTGTTCAATTTTTTGATGTCAACCAATCTTAAGGAGCCGTCCATGATTGAATGCGTTGCTCAAGAAAATAATATATTGGTGTTTGATGCCAAACGTGCTTGATATTATAATATATTCAATCTTCTAACATAACACAACTACAATCTTCATCATTTTCCAGTTCCTGGATTAATAATTCCATCATCTTCCTATACATTGGCATGTAATGATCGTTGATCATTGTTCTTGAAAGTCGGATCTTACTGTACAGTTCTCTAGCAGTCTCGAATAAACCTATGTGTTCTTCCGCGGGTCCATTGAGTTCTAAGTTAGTATTTGATGGAGATATGGAAATGACATGCATGATTCTTCCAGGTGGATAGAACAGTTGGCTTTCTGACAGGTCCTCTGACACGATTGGATTTTTTGCTTCAGTTGTGTTGACAAGAACATTCTCCTCTTCAATAATTTCTTTTGCTGCAGCAGCTTCTTCTTCCTGCGCTTGAATATCAACTTCGCTCTCTTGCCTTTGAAGCTCCCTCTCCAGTTCATACCATAATTGACCTTCAGTAACCTCTTCCATGACCGATGAATTCATGACTCTATCATCAGATAAAAGAGGCTCATCTTCCTCGGTATCATCATGAACTGAACCACTGCTTGAACTAATCTCAAGTTTGATCTGCACTGAGTCTTGTGTCTGGACTTCACCAGCTTCAGAGTTTACAGATACAATAGTAGCTTCGGGCAAGTCCTCCGCATAAGAATTTATTGAAGATGGGCCCACAGAACGTCGACGTGGCCCCATACACGACCATGATGTTAGAGATGAGCGTGTTCTGACAACTGCTTGGGCAACATCTTGGGCTCGCTTCATCACAACCTGTATTAAACAACTCTCAAATTCAGAAAAAAAATATATATATATACATATATATATATATACCTTAATCCTGATTCAATTAGAAGACAAGATGTGAGGTGAGATACACAGGTAGAGAGAAATTTCACTCAAATTCCAGTGTTTTTACTTGTTCCAAATTAGAAGTAACTAATAAGTGGTGGCTTGATTACAATTCTTTGGACCATCAATTCACATGCACAAGCATGTTACCTGAGTGCTGTTGGAGACAGGTCGCAGAAGTGCACCTGCACCAGCAACCCTGGCTTTTGCACTAGCTATGGATGGTAGACGAGATCCCAGGGCAGTGGCAGAGCGATAAACAACATTTAGGACTCTGGTATGCTCAACCTGATCCCTCAAATCATTTAGCCATGAAGATGCTGTGACCTGTTTGACAACCATTTAAAAGTTAGAGTTTGACAGAGGATGGTAAGAATGAACATCAATATTTGACTCGGGAATAAATTTCAGCACCTCAGAGCGAAGATCATCAACAGAGGCAGCTGAAAATGTAGGCACCAGATCAGAGCCATTGATGACAGTAGTAATGAAATGCTTGCCTGATTCTGCTAAATCCCATGTCATACATGCAGCTGCAAATAAAGTAATGAAAGGCATTTAGAGAGCATATCAATGTAACCCAGAGGTATACCCTCCTTTAACCAAATAAGACCTTCCATAAGAATGACAATGCAAGGACCATTTCCCACATAATGACAAAAAAATCCAGAGGTCGATCCTAAGAGCTGAGTATTGCACCTACAGCAGAGAACCTATTGCTTTGGAAATTAATACTGGTACGAAAATGCAAAAAGCAAGCATTACATATATCCAATCCAGTACAAACTGTACCAAGTAAATGTCAACACAAAATATAAGATCACCATGAGTCAATTGTACATGCCTGGGGCAAATGTGACACAGGTGCTAGAAGAGAACTCCTTTTGTTCTCGAAGTATATACGTTAATAACGCTGCAGTCCCACCACCAAGTGAATGCCCAACAATCTGTAAATGATAACCGAACATTTAGAGCAGAATTCAAAAACAGGTAAACTTTACCAAATGATGTTACCACATTTTAGCGTCTTACACTAATACCATGCTAGTGTATACCAGAGACATAAATATGAGAAAGATTAATGCATGCCGAAAATATATTCCATTACCTTAATTTTGTGGTCGGGATATTCACCAAGTGCCTTAAGCAGACAAGGGGAGCTCAGCTTAGCAATCCAACGAGCTGCAGCAACCATTCCACAGTGTGCATATCCTAAAACTAAATTACTTATCCCACCATCATGTAAAACTGAATGGTGAAAAGGGACCACTGCACCAGTTGCTGCTGTTAGTGTATCTTTGATGCTATGAGTACCACGAATCAGTAGAAGGAAATGATTTGAATTTTTATCGTGTATAATTGTGAAAGCGGGCTTCAGAAGCTGCATCCAAACTTGTGGAAATTAAAGGAATGCTCATCTAACATTTCGAACAAAAATACAGCAGAACGTAGGTTCTTAAGGAGATTACAGTACTGGGAAGAACATCATCTTAACAAGTTCTTCCAGAGTACTGTGACACTGGGAAAAAGTTGCAGGCCTCATATATTGATGCATTAAACTGAGTTGAACCAGCAAAAGGAAATCTTAAGTAAATCTTAAGTAAATCTTAAGTAAATTTAGTGTCATAATCTCCTGGAACAAGTAAACCTAAGAGGAGGAGCTGATAAGAAAAGGTAGCAGCTTGCATTTTTAGGTCTATTTAAGATTTTGGGCACACTGACTATGTGAGCAATCACCTATGATGTTATCCAGTTTACATCTCTTAGTTGGTTCAAGCCAAGTAGAAAAGACAATGTCTTATATTAGTGTACCTTTCTATTTCTTTCCTTTTCACAAGTAACAGCTATAAACTGTAAAAATATGGTATTTAAAATCAGCTGTTTGTTTCAACACTCCTTTGTGAATTTATTTAGACGAGGAGCATCATGAAAGGAATCTTCTTCACGGTGAAAAAGCAGGACGTTTCACATGTAAGGAAATTGCTGTATATGCACACAGTTTAGAAAGAACAGCCAGAACTAGAAATGCAGCAAAAGCTACTTAAAATTGATAACAACCCATAATACAGGCTAAACTATATCTAAAGAGAGGAAAAGAAACCATGATAAAACCCTAAATAAAAAAGTTTACGGATTCACTACACATTTAAAGAAAGAGATAAGCACACCATAACGAATTGCATTATAGATGGTCACCTACCCCTGCTTTTGGCTTCTGAATAAGAACATCCTCCTGAGAGAATCCGGCCAACTCCAAAAAGACTGGAAATGGCTTCTTTGAAAAATACATGCAAAGGGTCAAAAGTCTCAATAGATCGTACATCTCTGCTATGACTTCAGGGCCTTTCAACCGTACAGAATTACTACCAGCATATACACTTGCAACTTGCAAATTACCCTACACAAAAAATCCTTCAATTGAACACATCAACCAAACCTCAAAAGCCTAAGACAAGAATAATACAAATCAAAGTTTCACATCAAGGCATATCATCTGGAGTATAGTGTCGCTGCATTAATTCCCTAAACATACAAATTTCATCCGAATAAATAACTAATTGCACTTGGTCCTTGACGAAAGGCCAAGAAAAGTGTAAATAATAATTAAAGAAAAGCACCGGTCTTTACAGCAAGTCCAATTAACTCGTTTATCTTAACTAACCAACAACTAGATAAGTTGTAAACACTAAATTCTTAGACTAAAAAACAAAATATAACTCAAAAACACACAAACTCCTATAAAGGAACACACTTAATTGGAGAAAAAAAAAATACAACTTTTCCCTCCCCTAAGAAAGCTGTAAATAGGAAATTAAATCAAAATTAAAAAAAAAAACCCCACGCATTCTCAACAAATAATTACTCATTAAACTACAGCATCAGTCTTTACAAGAAGAAAAAATCATAATTAGCAACTATCTCCTTTCTCACTTCACTAATCAGAGACTACACAAGTAAATTAACTGAAAGAACACAAAAATCTTAAAATTCAGAGTCAATAAAAAAAGACTCTTTTTTTTTTTAATGAATTACAGTAAAACTTTAAAAACAAAACCTAAATTTAATATACCCCATATAAATCAAAACAAAAACACTCTTATTTATATATACCTGTCTCCTTAAGAGATAATTGATGCCAAAAGCCAAGTCACCAATGGGCCATTTTCCTAACGTCTCAGAGTAAGTGAACCTAAGCGTCTCTGATAATGTAGTCATTGTTTCTAGCCAAGTGGCAGGCGCTTGTACCGGTCTTCTGGCGATCCTCCTACCCGACCTCGATTTCGATAAATCACCGCCCTTCGCCGCCGCTAGTCTCCGGATTAATATGTAATACAACAGCACCGCTGCCCCCGCCGCCGTTGCCATTGTCGCCGCCGCCATGATTGAAAGAATTTCAAGTTTTGGAGATCATGAAAAGAAATGGATTTTTCGAGGAGCAACAGATTTCAGAAAAACTGGTATTTTGGAGGAAGAGGATAGATTTGAAGTCAGACAAGTTTGCGCAGAGAAAGTTGAAAGAGAAAGATGAAGATAATACAATATCGAAAGAAAGATTAGGTGTTAAATTACCATTACGTCTGGTAAGGAGTGTTTGTGTTTTGTAGAATTAAATTATAAATTAGTCCTCGTAGTTTTAAAAAACTAGTTGATTGGTTATTTTATTTCAAATGCTAATTATTTAGTCCCCATATTTTAACCTTATTTTCTTTTAACTTAATCTTTTTGCTCTTTTTTTCAATTTATTTAAATTTTTTATTTTCAAAAAAATAATAATAAAATAATTGACGAGAAAAAAATGATATATTTTAAATAAAATAATAATAAATTAAATAATATTAAAACATTTATTAAAAAATTAAAAAATAAAATAAAGAAAATTAATTAATTCACCCGGGTTTTTGCTTGTCCTTGGTGTCTTCCTACTAGTTTATTTTTCCTACACCACTTGTCTACTCCAATTAAAAAATAAACCTCAATAGTGAGAGAAAAGAGTTAAAAAGAGAATTTTACATAATTACACTATAAATACACTAGCTTTCAATTTTTTCTCAATTAAGTATATAAATTTTAATTTTTTATATGATTATATTAATTTTTTCAAAACGATCATTTAAATACTTTTATCAATTTTTTTATTAACCGATGACGTATCTACTATTCTTAAAATATCAAATTACAATGTTGTCTTTTTTTTTTTCAATGGACTAAGTAAACTCTAATATTTTCATATTGAGTACATCAATTTTTTTTTAAACCGTCAATCAAATACTTTCATCAATTTCTTCATTAATTGATTATGTGTCCGAATACTAAATATTTTTTTCATTTTTTTTTTTTTGCATTAAACTTTCTCTTTAAATTATTCTATCCTTTTAAAATTTGATAAAGAATTAAAAAATTAATTTTAGTTATAAAATCTCAAACTAAACTTAGTAAAGCTTGCTTGTTAAAAAAGAAAAAAAAATCGGTTAGGTTTTTGGCTTGAAAGTTGAACGAAATACAAAGTCGATTTTTCATCAAAAAGATTCATTTGTGTTTTTCTTCAATTTTCACTCTTAAATCTAACTAACTTTTTTTTAACAACAACCTAATTGAGTTTAGTTTAAAATTTTAGAAGTAAAAAATATTTTTTAATTATTTATCAAATTTTAAAATGATAATATATCAATTGAGAAGTTTTCTTTAATAAAAATAAGGTAAAATTATAATGTCTTATCCGAATACATCATTGATTAACAAAAAAAAAATGATAAAAATACTTAATTGATAGTTTTGAAAAAATTGATATACTCAAATAAAAAAATTAAAATTCATGTACTTGATTGAGAAAATAGATTAAGTACTAATTTGGTATTTTAATGGTGGCAAACACTTCATCATTTAACGAAAAAAATTGACAAAAATACTTAATTGATAATTTTAAAAAAATTGATGTACTCAAATAAAAATAAATAAAAGTATTTATTTGACTGAAAAAAAATTAAAAATTAGTATACATATATTGTAATTATCTCTCTCTCTTTTTCACTTGGAGCATAAGGGGTGGAAATTTTGTTCTTTGCGAATTCAATTTACATGGTTTTTGTCTAGTTGAATTTAGAGATTAACATTCTAATAGTTCGGATCAAAAGTTGTCATTTTGAGTAATTATCAAATCTTTTTCTTTATGTTATTTGAAATTTTTCAAATTTTATTAAATTTTCTTTGTCTGACAAAAAAATTAGAAGAATTGGGTTTTTATTCATTACCTACATTACATTAAAGCTTCAACTAAAATTGTTTTTTTTTTAAATCAAAATTAACAAGTTAAAATTAGGATTAAAAAAAAGATTCTAAACTAGCCAAAATTAGATAAAGAAAAATTACAAACACATCAGTTTTCAAAATCTATAATTTAGGTAACCCGGAATTTTTTTTAATGTTTATGACCTGAATTGCCTGGAAAAAACTTTCAATTAATTATTCAGATTACTAATTCTCTAAAAATTTTAAAAATCTGTTATCTGAATTAGTACAAATAATTCGGTTTCTTTTTAATAGTATCCTTTGGTAGAGTTGGAACATAAATTTTTTTTAGCTTTTATGAGATTATATCATTTGCTAATTTCTACATAAATGATTTTTTTTTAATCCAATTAACAAGTTGAAACTTGTTAATTTAACATAAAAATGGTAAATTTAGTTTCAACCGATATAAAAATTAATTCAAAAATATTATGCTATCTATAACATAATTACAAAGAATAAAAACATAGTGTCAACTTGTACAAATTAAACTCAAAATACTATCGGACTGTCAAGTAGGAAAAAAGTATCTTAAACTCTTTATTTTGATTTCAAATATTTGTTTATCGATTTTATATATGTAAAAAAAAATTGTGCAATTTTTATTTACTTTTTGTATGTTCAAAGGAAATCTCCTCCGGCTGTTATGTATTTTGAGACAAAGTTTTGCTTTTACTTTCAAAATAATAAAAGGCATAAAAACAAAAATTCGTGTATTCGCAAAATCAAAGAATTTATGAAAAATTATCATTTCGTGTCCTGGTTTCAAGCTATTGGTCCTTCCCTAAGTCCTGTTTGTTTTTGTTATTGCAAGTAACTACAATGAATTAGTACTTTTTTTCTTTTTTTTCAAATCACATATTTGATGCTCTGAAAAAAAAAAAAAAAATCCAGTTTGATTTACATTGCCACTATGATACCCAATACCCACTTAAACGTATCATTGTAATTTTTAATTTTTTAATAATAATTTAAATACTTTTATAAAAGGTTAATGATTGCATTGGTCTTTCTATTTATATTTCGTCTTGATCATATTTTTTTATTATTTTTTGTTTTGAATTTATCCCTCAACGTTTGAGTTTTTATCTTAATGTTTTAGGTTAACCGTGTTAAATCACATCATTAGCACCACATGATTGTGACACATGTTAATTTTCTTTACTAGACTATTAATAAATGAATTTTCGCTATTGTTTTTTTTTTTTTCAAATTCATTTAAAAGCAGCTAGAAATTTGCTACATTTAGTTTATTTATTTATTTATTTTGTCAATTTTAATAAATAAATTTTGGGGAAAAAAATTAAAATAAAGCAAGCTAGAAAGTAGCTATTGATTTATTTTTTTTTCAAAATTTATCTATTAAAAATCAGTTAAAAAATAAGCATGTGCCATAATTATGTAATGTTAATGTATTGTTTAATAAAATTAGTTTAAAATGCTAATTGTAACGCAAACCAAACGTTGAAAGATGAATTTAAGACAATATATATATATATATATATATATATATATTAAAACAAAATAAAGAGCAGAGATATTTGACCACCATTAACCATTTTTGGAATGTAAAATCAATATGTTGAAAGAAAGTAAAGTTATTTGAGTGTTGCTAATCTCCTACAAAATCTCAATCCCAAATTTTGGAAGCAAATGATTAAATGAGGGTATTTTGGAGGAAGAAAATGAAGAAAGTAAGTGGTAACGTATAGGTTGAGTTTGGGAATATCATAATAACCAAGTAATGAATTAAAAGAGTGCGTGCACGTTAGGGATAGGCCATGAATCTGATTTTTTCCTTTGGTTTAGACTTTAAAATTTAGTTAAATAGACGAGTAAATTATAAATTAGTCCTTTTATTTTTTTAAAAAACAAATTAATTAATTTCTTTTAATTCAAAACTAATTATTTAATTTTTTAATAACATTCACCACATTTAATTTAATATTATTTTATTTTATCAAATATCATATTTTATTATCAATCATTCCACAAATGTTTATTTATTTTTTTAAAATAAAAAATCAAAATAAATTGAAAAAAAAACAAAAAGAATTAAATTACAAAAATATAAAAATATAAAAATTAAATAATTAGTTTTTGAAACTAAAAATAGTAGTTTTTGTTAGGATTTCTAAAAGGTAATGGAAATCAACAAGAAAATTGATTTACATGTTTTTTTTTAAGAGTAGGTTTAAGATACCATGTATAGTAATTGGTAGGATATGGTTGTTATGACATATTGATAAACATAATTATTGATATTAGGTGAATTATGATATTGTTCAGTATTTGACGGTAATGTTGAATTATTTTATTGTAAAATGATTTGAACAGACTTTTTAAAAGTTTTGTAGTCTTAAAGACGATGTTTTGAGGGCCAAGGGGTCTTGGAATTTGGTCTAAAGATTAAAACTTACTATTTAATGAAAAAAAAATCCATCTTGAACTTTTATTGGTGTTGTTGAACTTGAACTTTCACAACGTATAAAATTTATGTTTAAGGGACGAGTGTGTTAGGAAACGAATCAAACATGAAAATAGAATAAAAGACAATAACAATCACACAATACATAAATTTATGCGATTAGTAATTGTTTCTACTTCGTGGTTACGTTAGAATTTCTTATTTCCTTTTCTATGTAAATGAAACTCTCTCCTTTCACTCTCTTAGTAAACCCTAATCATTTCTCAAATACTTGATCATTAAACTCTTCATTATTCATCACACCTTCATCAACCATGTCAACTTTTCCTCCACATTAGTCATAATGACTTTTTGATCTACCACAAGCAAATCATTTAAACCCTAATCTTTTTTAATTAGACTACATACTGCTGCATCTACCATAGGTAAATCATTCAAACCTTGGTCACTATTAATTTGACTATGTATCCTTTCAAAATTATATAAACCTAAACCATTTATCCTATGTCGAGCTTCGATTTTAAAGGATCAAAGAGAGAGAATAAAGAAAGGAGGTAGAGAATTAGGTAAGAATAGTATAGAAAATGCTCAACGGACACTAAAGCTTTTAGGGGTGAGTAATATTCAGATAAAATAAAAAAATTGAATCGAATTGAAATATCAATATTAATATTTAAATAATTTATTTTTCAAAACTAAGAAATTAATTTATTATTTACTTTAGATAGAGAGTTGAGAAGCAGGTAAGTTGACAAAAGTGCGTGCAACATAAGGTTGGTCACGATGGACATGACATGGATGGCGAAACTTTAGAAGCTTGACTCCAATCATAAGTGAATTTATTCTTTTTTATATGCTTGTTAGGAGAATATATTATTTTTATAGAGAGAATTGGCTGAACAAATGGTATCAAGTGAATGGGAAAGGCGTGTTCTTAAGATTATTTAAGAAAACAATCTAATTTCGATTATATACTAACCAGCTGATCTGAAAAAAAAAAAAAAAAAAAAAAAAAAAAAGTTTACTGTGAAATTAAAAAAAAAAATGCAAATGACACCTCTAAAATTTGAGGAGAAAAAAAAAAAAAAGCAAACAAACAGTAGATTCCACGGATGCCGGGGCGCAAGAAAACGTGTTGGACTGGAGACTGGCTGGATCCAGCCTTACTCGGGGAGATTTGTCACTGCAACCATTACAATTGGGTGGGCAAAGAAGCCGATCAAGAGGTTGAGGTGGGATTTTATAATGGAGGCTGGTGTGGTTGGGTTTGGTGATCAATATTTTTGGGATGGTTCCGCCGCCCCCACGTAGATGGAATTTAGTACTTTACTAGCATTCATGGGTGCCAAATTATTCGGCCATGAAATCAGCGCTCAGATTACCCTAAGCATGCCTCGACATTTTATCCTTACAAAGATTGCACTATGGGCAACAGTGTTTACACCCATGACCAAATACGCCCTTGAATTTGCACCATTCGCCATCCAACTAGAACGCAACCTTCCTGATTCTATTAGTTCCAGGACCAAAACAATCATAGGAGGCGCTGTGGGTTCAATTCTGCTACTGATAATACTAGCTCTAGCACTCTCCGTTCCATATTTTGAGCATGTCCTCAGCCTTACTGGCTCCCTTGTGAGTGTCAGTATTTGCATGCTTTTCCCCTGTGCCTTCTATATCAAGCTTTCATGGGCTCAAATATCTAAGCCTGTTCTCATCCTAAATGTGATCCTTCTTGCATTTGGGTTACTTCTTGGGGTCGTTGGGAGCATATCCTCATCAAAGTTGCTCGTTACAAGTCTAAAAAGAGCTCGCTCTAGCTGAACAAATGAATTAATGGTCGATCTGGAGAGAATCAATCACATCCTGATCTTCTTTTCCACTCTAGCTATACATGTACGTACCTGATTGATACGCAAAAATAATCGGGCCTATTATTTTTGCGTATCAATCAGGTACGTACATGTATAGTTGAAAAGGAGGGCTAGCTGATGCTCCCACAAGCAATTTTCTTTTCTACTACATTTTAATATAGAGAGAGAGAGAGTTATTGGGTGTATCATAACAGGAGATTGCAGTTGCAACTTCCATAAATTTGATTCTCATGCATCTTGTAAACTTACTTACTCATAATAAAAGGATACCTTAATTATATTAGCCTTTCTTTTTGTTCAAATTAACATTAACAGTAAAAAAGAAAAGGAAAAAGTGCGCTTTCAGATACTCTATTTACTACTGCAGAAACCACAGATCTTATCAATATGCACGAACCATGCTCAAAAGCAAGCAAGACCCTATGCCTGCCTCAGATTTCTGCAACAAAGCATGTACAGTTATACACACAGTGACTTAAATAATTTAATTGCTAGTTCATAATACAATTGAAGGTGCTAATTAACTGTTATTAGGTATCAAAAATCAATGGTTTTTAAAAAGCGGCTTGAAATGTAACATGGTTTAAGTTAGAAATAACCAATACTCTACCAGTATACCCATTATTTGTTCTTCCATCCATTTAAATTGAGCCACATGTACTAATAGATAATTAAATATTGAAGTTAATATTATTTTTTAATACATCTCTGTATATTTTTTTTATTTTACTAAATTACATTCTTTTTTACTGAATTACATTCTTCATTTAATTTTCAAATAGTACATACTAGATTTTTTACTCGCGCTTATGTCACGGATTGGATAAAATATATAAAATCATATAGAAAAATTATTTCAGTTTAATAATTTGTTTTATGATAAAAAATAATTATAATTTTTAAATGAAAAAAATTTATATTTAACTATTTCTTATTTGTGTTTTTCAATTTTAGAAATAAATAATAAAGCAAATAAATTATTCATTTCTTTAAAATTTTAACACCCAATTAATTATTGGTTCTTTTAAAATTTTAACACCTAATATTATTAAGAAATTAAAATTAAAAAAAAATTCAATGTTTAGGAAAAAAAAAGGAGACCAGCAGTTTACTTGTTCATGTGAATAGTAAACGGATGGAAATTAAAAAAAAAAAGTGTTTAGAGGGAAAAAAAAAAAAGGCAAGCCGTTTACCATTCAAATGAACAATAAACAGGTAAAAAAAGGAGTTGGGAATGCCAGCGGTGCTGGTAAAAAAAAAATGAAAACTTAAAAAAAAAAAAAGCCAAAGTAATATAGCAATGAACGAGTGATTAACACTGTTCATTGCTACGATAAAAAATGGTTTTTCTTTAGTATATAGTATTAGATGTTTTACCTGCTCTATGTCTGCGAGTTGGATAAAATATATAAAATCGTTTAGAAAAATTATTTCAATTTAATAATTTTTTTATGGTAAAAAATAATTATAATTTTTTAATAAAAAATTTTGTATTTAACTATTTCTTATTTTTAAAAAAATTTTAAAAATAAATAATAAAGGAAATAAATTGTTGGTTTCTTTAAAATTTTAATACCCAATTAATTGTTAGTTCTTTTAAAATTTTAACACCAAATACTATTTAGAAATAGAAATTAAAAAAAATTCAATGTTTAGAAAAAAAAAAAAAAGGGTGCAAGCCGTACTGTTCATGTGAACAATGAATGGGTGGAAATTTTTTTAAAAATTAAATGTTTAAAAAAAAAACAAAAGAAGGAGGGCGAGCGTTCATCGTTCAAATGAACGATGAACGGATTGTTAGGGTGGGGGCAACGAGTCTAGCCAAAAAAATTAATGGAAATTAAAAAAAAAAAAAACATCGTAGCAATGAACAATGATTTATACTGTTCATTGCTACGATGAAAACCATTTTGCTTTAGTATATAGGATAATCTTTTAATACGAGCTCGAGGGGAGAGAGAGGGAGGCGGAGAGGGTATCAAGATATGTTACGTTTTTCTTATTTTTAAGATTTAAATTTTAAGATTAAATATTCAAAAGATTTATTAATTTTTTTTTAATTCACCAAGTTGATGTGAGAGTATAATAGTAAAATCATTTGAAGATAGGCCTTGATATCGATTTAGCGTAAACTCGAATCAAAATTATCCCTTACCATAGAATCAAAACAAAAACAAAAAAAAATTAAATTTTTATTAAATTTTTTCTAATGTGTGATTATGCAATCTAACTATAAATTTTCTCAATGTTAATTCTAGTCCATCTAAATAAAAACTTCTAATAAATAAATTAGAAGGCTTACTATAATTTTAGATTTAGATCTCTTATATTCTCTTATAAACATGACCGAGTTTCAAATCTTATAATAGATTTTGAATTCAATAAGGTAAGAAAAAATAAAATAACTTAGATTAAGAAATATGGCGATCATGTTCCTTTAAAAACATGAGAGGATCCCACTCGAAAGATGCATTTAATATTCACTTTTTTTTTTAAAAAAAAGAATGAACTAAGATGAAAGATCATGTATTCTATGAAGGTGCGAAATAAAATAAAAATTTTTCTTCATCAAATTAAGGCATTGAATCAACTAATCATACATACATAAATTAAAGCATAAGTAAAGGATTATCTCTTGTAGTGTAGAATTTAACCTTTATAAAAAAAGGAGTCATCCAAATGTCCGACCTCTATTGATAATCCATGTAACACAAGAAGCACTCGAAGTAGTAGAGTGCTAGCTTCATCTTTTTCTAACTTATTTAGTGTTTTCTCTTTAAAAATCAATTCTTGGGTATTTTGCAAAAAACTTAAAAGAGAGGGACAAAGGTGGCGTGTGTATGGGAGGAGAAAACCGTTTTCTCCTTTTATTTTCTTTTTACCGTGTAGCCCTAGCTTAGTTCTTTCTTTCGTTGCACCTCTACTTGTATTTATAGGGAGAATGTCTTTCTTGTCCTCTAGGGGCAATGAAGCGGCGGCAATGTGTCCCAAAAAGGACTCTCGGTCGTTGCTTCCTAATCCTCTAAGGATTAGAAGTTATTATACATGTGAGCTTTTGATCTTATCCTTTTAAACCTCCATCCTTATTCAATAAGGTTCATGTTTATCATCCTATCAAAATATCTTACGGACTTTTAACTTAACCCTATTGGCCCAAACTCTTTTGGGCTAATTAATTTGAATTATCCAAATAAATTAGGTTAGATATTTTTTTAGGAAGTCCACATTAGAAAATTTTTTTCCAAATTACCCTTAAATCTAAATTAAGAAACTAATTTTTTTTTTTTTTGGTATCTTACTTTCAAATTTGGAACCGATTTCCAAATTAGAAAAATTATTTCTAAAATAAAAAAAAATTCATTTTAGAAAACTTCCATTTCAGAAACTTTTCATTTTAGAAAACTTTCCAGTTTAGGAAATTTTCTATTTTCAAAAACCTTTTTCAAAATTGAAAATTTTTTCCAACATCATTACTTCTCTTTTCATTATGAGGATGCTTAAACTTATGCGTGTGACTCACTAGGCTTTTAGATATATTGGTAATGTATCAAGAATAAAAGACACATCTTTTATCTCTTGATACATAAATCGAGATTGATCTCTAACAAGACATCATGACTATTTAATTTTCTAGAAAGATTAGTTAATTCGTAATTACCTATCACGAGCATGGTTACTATATAATTTAGTCCTAATGCCAATTTATCGTAGTGTGATCTTGAACTTGGTTATTAGTCCGTTTGATTATGATCACATAAGTTTTCTTTGATTCTCAAATGTCTTAACTCTTATAGTAAACCAACTATGCTCTATTGGTGTACTCCTATTGTGGCTACAGATTCCTCGAGCGTACATTTATCAAAGTGCAATGTGATAACTCCTTTAGCATATAAAGAATTACGTGTTATCTTAATCATCCACCTATCTTCATTAGATTTCTAGTGCACCTAAAGAATCATCCACGTGCAGCCCTTTATCGGGTCCATCAAAATGAGTGTCAAACTACATAAATCATTTAATGAGAACCATAATGATTTCAAGTCGGAGGACTAGTTGTACCTATTTCTTATGAGATTTCATAGACTAAACTAAATGAGTTCTTATAGTGAGTCAAGTCCAATGATAAGTTCTCTAACATAAATCAACTAAGTGCTTGTTTTGGCATCATTATGCCAATCGATATGAGATCTCCTACTTTTATCTTATAGCATGAGTATAACATTCACAAATCTAACCACATATATTCAATATCCATTCTTGATAATGCTACGACTTGAGACATTTAATTATATCATTTAAGTGCATTAATATTTGTCTCACATTTTTTGATTAATCATTAATGTAAATACATCTCATATAGAATTTTATCTAATTCTATTCAATAAATAAATATAAAAAATAAGAATTAATAAAAAAGACTTCTTTTATTATTAATAAAATAAATAATGCAATGTTACAACAACTTAAATTATCCAATCAAGGTTGGATCTTGGACACCTATACTAACAATCTCCTACGTACACTAAAGCCAACTAGCCATGTCCCTTATTCTCGACAATCAAGTAAGGATCTCATGTTTTTCTCGTGATAAAGACTTAGTTAAGGGGCCAACTATGTTGTCATCGGTGTGGACCTTTCTATCCTTATATCACTATGATTAATAATCTCTTTAATAAGATGGTAGCATCATAGTACATGCTTAGACCTTTGATGAGAACTTGGTTTTTTTACGTGTGCTATGGCTTTTTTTTTTCGTAATATAATACTATTGGATCAACAACGATAGGAACCACTTTTAGTCCGGATAAAATCTTTTGCATCCGGATAGCGTCTTAGCTGCTTTTACGATTGCAATGTATTCAACTATGGTTATTGAGTCGACCACTATTTCTCACTTAAAACTTTTTTAACTAACGACACCAATATTCAATTAAAGAATAAATCATGATT